ATTTTTACGCCTAGGTGGTTAAAGTGTAGTACTAGTTTCCTAAATATTTTTCCTGCATGTAGAGTCTGATGGCAGCTGGTCCACTGGAAAAACAAATAATGCAATTGCCTGTAAAAACTAGTAACTTATGCTCAGAAATAATCGAGGGCAAATGTAGGAATTCAATGCATTTAGGTGCATAGAAATGTACCCACATCTGAATAATGTTACCACTTACATAATGCTTATTATGTGCCTTAGAATATTAGTTCTAAGCATTTGACCAATTAACTTATTTTCTCCTCAGCTCATACAACCCTATGATTTAGGTACTAATATTATAGCTGTGTTACTCAAGGTCACATGCTGAGTTATCAGCAGAACTAAGCACTGAACCTAGACAGCCTGGCTTCAAAGTATAACCTTTTTAACCATTACATACTCTCTATCACCTTGTCTGAAAAGACAGTCTCTCTCCCAAAGCCAGCTAAAACAATAGTGCTTCCATCTTGATATATGACTTTGATTAACAGCATATGAAATGAATAATTACAAATTTAGTTACTATAAGACACAGCAAATTTACTAATTAAATCAATGTTTATAGAGAAACAAGAAGTAATAATGCCCCCTCCCACAGGTATCCTATGCATCACCTTTTGTGTCTTATTTGGGAATTACTACTGCTACCACCTGTTAATATTTAAAAAGCATTTGCCTGGACAGACACTTTGCAGGGATTATCTGATTTAATCACAATAGCAAACATATGAGGGCCGATAATACCATTTTTATATTTCACATGGGGAGACTAAGGCTCAGGGGGTTTAAATAATTTATCAACCTCACAGTGTTAGAAAGTGATAAGGCAGAGATTTGAACCCAGGCAGCCTGTCTGCAGAGCCCACACTACTTGTCATTATGCCTCTTACCAGAGTGTGTTGTCTCCCATTGGTAACCTAGTCAGCATGATTTGAACAGGGAAAAAGAACTATAGGCTCCATGAATATAATGATTTTAAGAACTTTATAAAAGCATCTTTTGCACTTGGGGACAGAATGGATTCTGTAATTTTTTACCTTTTTTAGCCTTTCTAATTTATCTTACCTTGAAGATGGGCAGAGCATATAACATAATGGTCAAAATACAAAATGAAGACAGGCAGTATTAAAATAGCTGACTTCACTTCATTTTAAATATAGCATCTTATATGACATTTACCTGGTTTTAGTTTCACAATTTAAATCGGTGAACAGACGTAAAAAGACATGATTTTAGCATAAATTATTGAGAAATCTAATCAGAGCCCTGTAGTACATTTGTTGGACTGGAAGAAATAAATGGATGCTCTCATCTTAAAGAATCAGTGCTTTTTATTTAATGTTACCAGATTAGCTTCTTCAACCTGGTGGCTCATTACCAAGATAGCTTTGTGCTTGTGACTAGAAATAATGTTGATAATAATAGTAATAATAATTTATTATTGCATGTGTTCAGCAGCCAAGTAGTTTCACTTACCGAATTGGCTGGTGTGCAGCACACACAAATAAAATTTGCATGAAAAAGAACAGCTGTGTAAAATACTGCCTTTGGAAAGGCAAATTTACTGAGATAGTGATTATAGTGTATGAAGCTCAAGGCATAACCGTAATGATTGTAGGACCATTTCTCTCCCTCATGCAGTATTTTACATCTATTGCCCTCAGAACCAGAAGACAGCGAATTCATGGTAGCAAATGCTATTTCCTATCCGGTAAAAGTGATTCTATTGCAACCACCTGCTTTTAGTCACTGAAAACTTGCTGAAAAGCCTCCTTTGAAGGTAAAACTTTTACTAGTTGGCCTCTTCCAAAAGATGGGCTTGAGTGAAAAGAGAGTAATATTTAAGTTCTAAAAAATAAGGCAGTGCTTAATTTGATGTACTAAAAACTTACTTTTAAATGACAGCAAAATTTTTAAATGTTGGATTGTATAAGTATTGTTTAAGCAGCTCTTTCATATCAGGAAGTTCCAGTTTATCATCTATAAAGGGTAAAATGGCAATCCTTTTTCCTCCATTAGCATGTCATAATTTAAACATGATTCATTTGGACTTAATGCGCATATAAATCATAAAAGCGTTTTTTTGTACTGAATTTTAGACAATAATTTTAAAGTGTTATTTGGACCTTTCATATTAGGTGATGAAAATTGGTGACAATGTACCTGTATTCAGAATCATCTACATGTTTTTAAATCTTTGGCTTTGCCATTTCATTTGGTACAAATCTGGAAGTTGTCAGGGAGAGCACTGATATATTTATACTTCGTTGAAAAGGGCAAATTATGACTTAGCCTTTGTTTGAGTTCCTTAAGTGTAGTCCTCTAACTTGAGAGTGAATGTCTGTTTGTTAGTGGGATCCTCTCATTCTACTTTTAGTGGTTTTCTTGTTAAACATTTATGCATTGAAAAAAACTGATCCCAACTCTAAAACGTTCATTTTTATAGTACTTCATAGTTGACAAAGCTAGGTTTTCATAAGTATAATAATTCGATACTCATAGCAACGCTGTGAGGCTAACAAGATTATCCCCATTTTACACATGGGAAGCTGTAGGGCCCAGAGGTTGTATGACACAGCCAGTGTGATTAGTATTATTGCCACACTGACCTAAATCCAGAGCTCTATGTGCTGAACCACAACAGTCCTCTGATCAAGATCAAATGATTTACAAAAATCATACTGAAAACAAGTTGTCTGTTACCCTTCATCTCATAAAATGTGGATTTTTTTAGGATTAATAAACTAGGAAACTAGGAAATAGTGCATGAAATTGGAGAATAAGGAAAAGCTTTCATTAAGTTTCAATCCATGCTTATTTAGACGATCACTTCTTTAAATCACGTTTAAAGTTTGGTTTTCTAGCAATTATTTTAGCTGATAGAAACACAGCATGATAAAAATGTGTATTTATGATATTCTGGAGCATATGGATTGTATAGTTATGTGTTTGTGTATACTTATATGTTTCCTCTACTGACATGGAAGAAAAATTTATTACAGATATATAAACCTTTGGTAGTATACTGTCAATCTGATGTCTATTTTTAAAATTATGTGAAAATAAAGCTTTAAATATATAAATGGTTGAGAGAATCACTCCTCAGCTTTATATAAACCAGCAGGATGAAATACTTACCTTGGAATGAAGATGTAAGAATGTGTCCGCCATACGCACCAAGAGATTACTTGGAACCTGGGCTTGCAGTGGCTCAAGAGGACGTGTCACTTGCTTTCCTGGAGTCATTGCAGTGTGCCCCTCCAGTTGCCTGTGTTGAACCTCTCCTGAGGCTAAACCAGTTGTTCTCTTCCTCTTTTTTTCCTGTCATTTCAAGCACTGGTCCCCATATTATGTTTCATAATGATTCCTACTAAGAGAGTTTTCAGAAAAGGCAGGTGAATTTTCTCAGCCAGTGGAAATCAGATTGTATTACATCAATGTTTGTCAATAAAGTGTATCACAAAAATAACATTTCTGTGTTTTTCACAGTGATCAGCCATCTGCATCAGCAACCTGTCACATCATGTCCATAGCACTCTTCACATTTCCTCCCCACCTTCTTCTTACACTGACTCCCAGGCTGGGAGCCATTCTCACAACTTGTATAAAATGACCATTGAATGGCAGACAAATTGATAATGAAATTGCTTCCCTATCGAAGATATCCCCCGCTCCCAGAATCTCTAGAGGCCAGCAGACCCTTCACATCTGTATCTTCCCACCCACAGTTCCATTCCTTCCATAGTTTCTCTGTGCACGGGTATAAGCAGCTACAGATACACAGACAGAAGCTCCTTCTTTGGGAGGGGTAGCTGACCAACGAGACACAGATATGAAGGCTGCCTCCATGCAGAACCTACCTGTTTGAATTTTACACCTTCCTGTGGAGACCAGCTATGGCAGAGCAAAGTCTAGAGCTGCCTTCCTTTCTTGTTTTGTTTAATGTTCCTATTTTTCATAGTTGACCGAACAACAATAAACAACACAAACAAAACCCAGTCTTTTGGCAAATGTTTCACGAAAAGACAAGTAACTATGTCATTTAATGAAATAAAACCAAAGTATCCACAATAATTTTTAAAAACTCACCTTTTGTTACTCACCATTGCTGCAAAAGAACTGTTAGGCAACTCTAAGTACTGTGATATTAAGAGCATAACTAGAAATTCATTGACACAGCAGAAATCTATCTCTCTATATCATCTTCCTTCCATATGCATATAGAGATATCTGTGTATGTATCAGGTATTCTAGCTAGCTAGCTATTATTCCTTTTTCCTGCATACAAACATTCTCTGGACTTGAGTAGGTGTAAAAATCCAGTGTGAATCTGCCTCAGTAATGTATAATAGCATTAATAATACTGCTGTAATCAATTTCATGAGAAATTTGGGCACCTTTAAAATTTGGTAAAGGATTGTACTATCATTAATTGTTTTTCTCTCAAAATAATAGGGTTTATTTTGCCTTATGAATGGCTAATTTTCTGAAATACAGTTGAGTCAATAAGCACTCAACTTTTAAACTACTTCAAGAATGGATTTTATGTAACCAGATCTCAAGGGCTTTCTTGAAGATGGGGTCTGACTGTATTCCTGAGGCCAAAGGCCTTTCTTCACTGACTCCTGGCATGATGTGTATGATCTCTGGGTTATTATGTCCACCAAGCCTGTTGAAAGAACAGGGATTCCAGAATCATTCTTCAGATCTGAAAGGGCAAAGATCACCAGTTAAGATCTTCCTGGTCACCGTTGGAGTCATTTGGATAATAGTTCAAGGGGCTCTAAAAATATTATGAAATAATAGAGAAAATAACTATTTTAATAAGCTATAAATACCTAAATATGGTAGTCCTTTAAAATTCAATAATTTATTTGATACAGCATTTTGAGTTACATATTCATTCCTAATACTTAATTGTGTAGAGTTTTAAGATGCTGGCTGTTATGAAATGATTCTATTTTCTTCTTCTTTTGCAGGTAACCCATTAACAAAGGATAAATCAAGTGATCCTCAAGGCTGGTTACATTGAACATCAGCATAGAAACATAACTCATGAGGTGATCTTGAAGGAAAATTTTTATACAGCTCACAAGAGGCACTCTGGAGTGTATTATTTCCAGGGGATTTCATGGCTTGTAATCAGCTTCTTCTTGGAATCAAGACTTTTTAAAAGTCCAACATGAACTTCTGTATCATGAAGATTTCATCAGATTTGAACTGTGTTCAACTTGTATAATTGCACTTGCAAAAAGGATTTGAAGTTACTGTCTGAAGAGTTGGCGTTGCCGGATGGTGTCAGAGACACTTACCTTTTGTGCTCTTGGCTGCAAATGTGACTGCTTTTCTTGTTTCTGAAAGTCTCCCAAGTGCACTGGCCTTCTGTCATGGACCTGTTCCTGAGTCCTGTGTTCAGTGGCTAGGACTGCACATGGCTTCAGTGACTTTTCCTTTGCGAAATTCTCCTCTGGCATGGTGTAGACTGAGACAATTTATTTGTATCCTAATCTTGAAGCTCTGAAAGCCTACATGTTTTAACATCTTAAAGTTGCTTTTGTTGAAGAAATGGAAATATATATCCATTGATAATAATTATTCTTGGCAAGTAAAGTTATCTGAATACATCAATCATATAAGAATGTATAGACAAGCTGACATGTCTCCCCAAGGCTAACACACTGCTGCAGCTCTCTGTCAGTAAAATAGGTAGTAGTTAGAACTGAATTACCATTTTCATTATATACTCCTGTTTGGTACCTCTAGAGTACTCTCCCTTTCAGGTTTTTTTTTTGTTTTTCTTTTTAAAGTGGGCTTTTTCTTTCATTTTTATCTTTACTTTTTCCCTTCACAGAAATTAGCAGTGAGCAGTCAAGTATTTAGGTAACCTTCAGTTTCAAAAAATTGCCAAGGATGCACGTGGGTTTTGATTTCTTAGCTTGAAAGTTATTCACTTAGATTTCTTCTAGTATTTTTTTAAACTGTCCTTTCTATCTCATTTTAAAAAGGCTGTCTCTTGCTCTATCCCAATGACTGTTTGAATGCCTATCTATTTGTTTATTCAGTCTGTTGGTAGAATAAATTGTTCTTTTCCTTGGTCTAAATTTTATAAATATTTGCTTACAGTTGTCCCGTTCAAACAATTTCTTTAGTCAGTCTTTGTCCACGTTTTCGTAGTACTTTTAACATTTGTGGTTTTCAGTTCTACAGGAAAATCTTATAAATATTTCAAGGCCTTAAACATGTATGTACTTGTTTTTCTAAGTTACTCGCAGAATGTATAATTTTATACTACATCTGCTTTGTTTCATTTGTGATGCGGAGGGAGAGAAGAATGGAAATTGCATAGCCATTCTGGATATTGTATAAAGGTATAGTTTGAAAGAATGTAAAGGGGGAGGAGCTTCTATGTTTTACTCATCTTAGACTAATAGGAAGCTACTTCAGAAATTGTCTTATTAGAAGTTCCATTATGTTAGAGAAGGTGTGGACATCTTTTGTTTTTTAAAACTCACTGACATGGCCAATTAGGTATATGTTGATTTCCATGATGGAGGCTGACATACAGACCAAAGCTCTCCAGGCTAAATTGGTAACAACTTTCAAAGACCAAGGCATTACCCAGAATCTTTTCTCGGCAGAATGACTAAAAGTGTAAAATTTGTTAAACGTTAAATTTGTAAAGTATGCTTTTGATATTGAACTAGAGTAAACTATACTGCACCGTAAGTCCATGGAATGGAATGACTTTCTCCTTCCATTTTAATTATGCATATACAACTAGATGGCTCTGAGTGAATTTTTGCAATGGTTCAAGACTGTCTCAACTCATAAAGAAAGGAGTAACAGTTGTGCTGGAGTTTCTGCATCAGTAATAATATCATTAATTTCTTTGGAACAAAGTGGAAAACTATATTATTTTGGAAATTATGAATTTGTCCTAGGTTTGAAATTATAGATCATGCCTCTCATTTTTTAAACTATGTCCCTTAAAACAACACTGGAAATTCTGTATTATATTCAAGTGTAATACATGCATATCAATAGAAAAAAATAAATGGAATTTCAGATATATTAACTAGATTATCCCCAGTAGATTAATGTTGTGACTCTTCAGAAAAGGCAAATAAAATTGGAATATAAAATGGACTCTTTTTCATGAGTTACATTCAGAGAATCTGTTTTCCAGTGTTTTATCTTAAAAGCACTTCAGTTACTATCTAGGAAAACCTCTGAGTTTATGGGGAAGCTGACATAAATTCTTCAATCTTCTTTTTATAAAAATCCATGGCAAATCTTGCCATTTACACAAGGTTCCAATATTTGACTTGCTTCTTTGCTAAGAAACAATTGAAATAGATATATCTACACTTGTGCCACTTGCTCACATCTTGACTGTGAGCAAAACTGGCAAAATTTTGCTAGCAATATACAAAAATCATTTTATTATAAAAATTGTTGAAAATAATGACTGTTTATCCTTTGAAATTCATTATACAGCTGGCCCTTGAACAACATAGGTTTGAACTGCACAGGTCTACTTATACATGGATTTTTTTCAACATTAAGTACTACAGTACTACACAATCTGAGGTTGGTTCCAGGGATGCAGAACCTTGAGTATGGAGGAACCGCATAGAGGAAAGATGGACTGTAAGTTATACGCAGATTTTCGACTGCATGTAGGGTTAGCTCCCCTGACCCCAGCGTTGTTCAAAGGTCAACCATATATGGAAATGTTAATTAAAACATAAAATATGGCTATGATTTAGCCTTTAAAAATTACTTTAACTAGCTTTTATTTTGAAGTAATTTAAGATTTCCAATGTTATGAAAATAGCTCAGAGGACTTCTGTGTATCCTTTTCCCCATTATCACCCAGTGATAACATCTTACCAAACCAAGAAATTGACATTGGTACAACACTATCCACTCAAATACAGACCTTATTCAGATTTCACTGGTTTCACATGCACTTTGGGTGTGTTTATGTGTGTGTGTATACGATCTTATTCTTTTTAATTAATTTGGTAAACACCTACTTCAGTATGTCATAACATAAAATAGATCATGAGAGTCTATGGGTCAATGAGTGGCTGATTTGTGATGACTTTTTTGAAGTTCTCTATTTATGGAATAACATCCTATAGCTTTATTTTATTTTTATACATTCTTGTTGCCTTAACACAATGGAAACTTCCAGTTTTAACATCAGACAGTACCATATAAGATTTCAAATTTGGAATTGGCCTTAATGGGTAGGAAGAGGTCTGAGAATCTGCATCTATGGTTGAAATAAAAAGGGAGTTTGGTCCTGTTCTTTATTTCCCTCAGCAAGGACTGTGCTACTACACAATGCTATACAAGTAGGTTGTGACTTTTGATAATACACAATGGCTAATAGCACGATGAGTAAGTGGGACATGATCTTTTAAAAATGTTGATCATTTTCTCAATTCATGATCATATATCCATCTGAAAGAGCAACATATGCAAAAATATCAAGTAGTATTTTTCATCATGGAGCCCTTTCTCATGTTGACCCACTTAAGTGGAGAGAATTAGAATGATGGAAGACACAGAGAAGCTGAAAAGTTGGGGAGACACATATTGCGTGTCTGTTCCCTCCTGTTCCCCTTACCCACATAGAGAACTCATAGTAGAGCATTACTATTTTTTTAAGGTAAGGGTTTGTCTCTGCCTTTCTGCCTTCATACCTGCCTTCCTCTCCTTTCTTGTTTCCTTCCTTTCTTCCTTACCCTCATTTCCTTCCATCTTTCCCTTCCTTCCTTTCCTTCTCTTTCGTTTTATATATAGAATACTTTGAAAAAAGAGTAGAGGTAGCAGATTTTATTCATTGCACTGCGTGATACTAAAAAGTAGTGTAGACCTCACAATTATCTGGCATGTAATTGACTTATACCTACTAGGCACATGCATATTTGGTGAGATCAAACGTTAGCTGAAGTTTAGCCTTTAAAATGGCCTTTAAAATCTATTCAATGCATTTTTTTTTTAATGCCCTACATTTGCAGGGCATTCTGCTAACCAATGAAAAGTAGGTACACAGAAGACATAAGTGTTTCATATTTGTTTTGATTTTTTTAAATCTTCATTATATTTCAAATTAATAAATGTTATGCACTATGTCAGACATTTTTCTGGAAGGTTTTATCTGTTATACAAAGTGATTGAACTTTAGAAGGTATGTGAGCAGGGCACTACAAAGTTTTGTTTCACAGGTTTCAGAAAAATGTGATGGAAAGTCTTAAAGAAGAGGGACTGTGCGCTTGAAGAGAAGTTAGAGGGGACTAACATAATCCAGGGAAAGTTAATGAGGGCCTGAGCTTGGACTATCACACTGAGGAGAAAGAGAAAAAAATAGATATCAATCCTGGTTGTCATTTAAATTACTTGAAGATCTAAAAATTACCCACACACAACTCTACTCTCTGAGATTCTCTTAATTGGTTTAGGATTAGAGTCTGGGAACAAGTATTTTTTTAAAATCTCCTTGGGTGATTTAATGTGCATTCTGGGTTAAGAACCACTAATGAAGGGTTTTGCCAAGGTAGAAATGAGAAGTTGGGTGGGATGATTGGATGAGTATAAGGGAGATGTGGAAGAGAACTCAAAGCCCTGAGCCTACTAAAATGGGATAATTGAGATTTAGTTAAATATTAGAAAACTCTGAAGGAAAAGCAAGTTGAGTGGCAGGTGGAGACAATGAGTTCATTTTTTAAGCCTAATGAGTTTACAGTGCCAAGGTAACATTCAGAAAGGTCATGTTAGATAAGAACTGAACAGGCTTTATGGGATTTGTAATTAGAGAATGTTGGTCTTGGAAAGAGCAGTTTTAGTGAAGTGCTTATTGTAGAGCTGAGATTTCAGTGGGTTGGAGAGTGAATGAGAGATGTGAAAGTGGAAAATAGTACATGTAGACTTCTATTTCACAGGGGAATAAAAAGGAAAAGTAGGGTAGTGGTTATGCAGGGGAGGCAGAATTGAAAGAGTGTATTTTTCTTAATATGGAAGAAATTAGAGTATGTTCACGTATACCATAAGGGAGGGAGGAGAGGATGAGAGGTATGTTAAGAACCCAGGAGTGAAAATATAAAGGAAAGTTGAAAGTAGGGGTGTTTCTATCTAGATGGAAAGAAAGATAAAATGTATGAGGAACAAGCAGGATCAAATCCCATAGAAATTCTAAGGGGATGTGAACAGTGAAGAGGCAAGTGGTGTTTAGTTCTTTGGTAACCTTCAACAGAGCAGTGTCAGTAGTTAGCCCAGGAGTCGGAAAGCAATCATTGAAGTTGATTAGTACATGGGTGAGTGTCAGCTTGTCCCTGGGCTACTTAGACTTAGGAAGTTAATAACTCCAAGATCATAAATAGATAAATGAGAGAGAAATTACCTAAGTCTCAGTATCCGTATTCATGAAATGAAGATATCTACCTCACAGGATCTGTTGTCAAGATTCAATGAGTTAATACATGTAAAGTGCTCAGCACATTATCTTGTACGTAGTATTTACTCAATGGTGGTTCTTTCATTGTGAAAGATGTCCAAGTTCCATTTGTTCTGCAGCGGTGTAAAATCAGGTTGGTAGAAAATAATAAAATTATATATGATGTGAAAGGGTTTGGGGCTGGCTGGTACAAATGATAAATAGAAGAGGAAGATGTAGTGACATTACATTTAAATCACTTTTTTTCCTGGAATTAAGTGGCCGTAAGGAAGGTAAAAGAGTAACCTTAGTGGAAGATTAAGTGAAAATATTTTTTCTTATGGGAGAAGCCAGAAAGATTTATAGGCCAGAAAGGTTTATAGGTTTATACTGCAAGGAGGCAGTAGGGAAGGAGAAACTGATAAAGGGAGGGATGGATTAATATCCTGGAGGAAGGAGAAACAGGTGGAGTTGGGAATGTTAAGCAGAAGGGTTAGTGTGATAGGAATAATGTTTCTTTTGTCAGATAAGTAAAAAAAAAAAAAAAAAAAAAGATGGATGCAGCTGGAGACAAATTTAGATGTGAGGCCCAGGAAAATAATGCTCGGAGCCTCTAGGCTGAAGGAATGGCATATACAGGTGTTAAGTAGATAGGGTTCATGTGCTGAGTGTACAAGGGACAAAATTCAGTTTGGAATCTCCAAGGAGAGTAGAAAATATTTCAAGTAAACCTTGGTGTTTCTAGATGCTGAGAGCTCAAAAGACAATAAAGTCACAATACAGGACATTTAATTCGTAGAGACGTGACTTTTCCATCAGTGCAGTCTGGACAAAGGAAGGGTGAAAATGAATAGTTGGGATCAACTTTGGATGAAGATAGGCAACGTAAAAAAAAATGGCTAGCATCTCTTGAACTTACTCTGTACCAAGAGGTCTTTCTAAGCAATTTAAGTGTATTATTTAACCTTATCTGAGATCTATATTATTGATATCACCATTCTCTAATAAGAAAAGTGGGGCATGGAGTGTTTAACCAACAGTGTCACATAATAGTAAATGGTAAAGCCAGGATTTTAACCTCTGTAGTAGTAACTAGTAGGGAGTTAGTTTATATGCCATTGAAAAAGTGTATCATGGGGCTATAGGAAAATTCATAGGGCAAGTAAAATAAAAAGGAATGATGTTTGTAAATCTAGGGAGGGTCAGAGAGACTTGAAATAAATTTGAAAGTGGAGAACGGTTTTATTAGGGATGAGTAATAATTAGGACAAATATTTTTATGTTCCTACTATGTGCCAAGAACTATGTTAGATGCAGTGAATAAAATGTAAGTGTCACCTTCTATCACTCCTTCTGGGAGTGATAATAAACTGAATTTTTAGTAACTGAGTTAAGAATCTTCAGATAAATTCCTCAAAACACTGTGTTTGCATACAGCAGCACTTGAGAGAGAGAGAAGTGTCTCCAAGTAAAATGTAGAAATGCAGAGCAGGGAAAATACAGTGCTCCAAAAAGAAGCCTATCATTTTGATGAAGGTAGTCTATATTAATGATGAGGAACCTCAGTAATGCCTGAGTATGTTTCAGAAGAAAGAATTCTACACATAGTTTGCATTCGACGTTAAGGGTTTATATTTGACCTTCAATTGGAAGTGAAGTTCCCTGTTACTGTGTCTACTTGTAAGGCATC